AACACATCCATGGGCGGGAAAACTAATCAAAGAAGTCACCTCTTTTTAAATAAAGTATAGATTGTAAAGCTGTCACCTTAGCTAACTAATTAATTAACTTGAGCTAACAATTGTACTACCTATATCAAGTACTAATTAATTAATTGTACTAATAGAGTTGGAATTGTTGTCTCCAATTTCAAGTCGATAATTTGAATTCCATATATCAAATGGAGCCTAAAAGTTGTTCAAAACATGCACATTTGAAAATACTCCGGAGTATATAATAATGATTTCGTTTATATAAGAATGTGAATTTGACATATGCACATTTTCAAATAACACTATGCATTTCACTCATTTTGTATTTTGTGAAGTTGTGATGCATCCCAAGAACAAAACAGCCCCCACAAAACATTCTTGGCAACCACGAGTGAAAGCAATCCACCCAGTCTTATGTATATCTTGGGCTTTTTTTTCACCATTCGAGCTGCTAGCCATATTCACATTCCCTAACACTATGTTTGGTCAAAGAATTTGGAAGGAAAAGAAAAGAAAATGATTTTCTCTCATTTTTCTCGCTAAAATGAAAAGAATTTGGTTTTCTCTCTTCTTTGTACATTTTTTACTTTTTATTTTCTTTTCCTTCTACTTTTCTTTTTGTTCTTCTCTAACCAAATTTCGTTTTCCTTTCCTTCTCAAATTCCTTGAACCAGTGTAATCCAGACATTCTTCATGGGGGCTTTATAAGAGCGCCCTAAAAAGGTTTCTCTTATAAAAATGTCCAAAAAAGGTTTGATATTATGAGACTACCCTCTATCTACCCTCACTTAAAAGCACGAAAAATTACCATGTGAGATTCCCAAATTACCCCCTATTCTTCGAAAGTTATTGTCGAAAGAATCTAATTACGTTCCACAGCCGTTTAACGATTTCCCCTCTTTTTTGACCCGACCCGAATTCAACTATTTCTGTTTTCCCCTCCAGCTCCTCAATCGGACGCACACTACACATTTGCTCTGCGAGATCCCAAGTTCAAAGAGCGACTTGTTTGTTCATATATCTTTCATTTTATTTTTTATTTTTTTAAAGTTATATTTTATAACCCACAAACTCTTTGGATCTGTTATAGGTGCTTCCCCGACATGTTCAAGGTTGTTTCCCGAATAACACAGTTGTGACTCTCCATTCCAATCGAGCGCCACACACTTTTGAAGTAAAGGTTCAAGCATGCAGCCATGGCAATATGTTCTCCAGGGAATCATGGCCAGTGTTTGTTGAAAATCACAGCCTCAATGAGAGTCATGTCCTGTTTTTTATCATCTTGGTGGTTGTGATTTTCTCATCCATATCCTGAAATACGCATAATATTTTTTATGCGTATTTGAAGTTTGATTTTATGTATTTTCTAATAAAAACTTTTTATATTAAAATTCAGAAGTTTTATTGTTCTACCTTCACTTCGCACCATAATTTCGTTTCACTGCTCTTTTAATTACAAACTTCCATTAGTCATTGAAAGTAACGTAATTTATAAAACAAGAATGTTTTGAATTTATCCTCGAACACATTCAAATAAGAGTCAAAATGGTTGAAATTATATTCTTTTAATAATATTTAAAATTTAACATTATTAAAATTTTTTTATCCTTTATGGAATTTTCAAATAAGAATCGAAACAGTCGAATTTTTTATTAGGGTGTAAAAGTCTCATTCGAAATGTGGTCAAATTTTCGTCGAGACAGTCAAATTTTATTCTTTTTGGATATTTATTAATGTCAACGACCCGCTGTATTATTATTATTATGTTTATTTTTATTTTTATTTTTATCAATTTTGCTGATTTTAGTATTTTTATTAATGAAAAAAATTCAATTCACATTTAACCTAATGAACACTTAGAAATTAAAGAGAGTATTTGAATGGAAACCATTCACACGTATATTCATACATGTTTTTACTTATTTTTAACTTAACAAGTCATCTCCTAAGTCTTAAAAATTAAAGAAAATTTTTAAAGATGACTGATCGCATTCTGATGTTCGTATTCCACTCTTTAATAAAGTTCTATCGTGTAATCTCTTATTTTATAACATGCATTCGAATACGTTCCAAATGTAGTCAAAATGATCGAAATTTTATTCCTCTAGGATTTTATTATTATTATTATTATTATTATTATTATTATTATTATTATTATTATTATTATTATTATTATTATTATTATTATTATTATTATTCGCGTTAGTGAATAATAAATACCGAAATTTAAACATTATTTAAGAATGCCAACCGTTCACACATATCTTTATCTACCAGAATTGAATTCCAACCGTTCACACATATCTTCATTCATGTAATTAATTACTAATTAGGGTGTAAAAGTCCCTTCGGTTCCATTCAAATATTAGTCAAATAAAAATCCCTTCGAATACATTGCCACCCTCTTTGCATTATAAACACACTTTCTTCAATGTATTCCATATTTTACAAGCCTATTTCTTTACAATCATAAAAACTTCTCACCTTTCTTTCATTGATTGATAGGTATGGATCATTCATATACGTTGTTCGTAATGGTTTTACTCGATTTTGTAAAACGGGCCTAATGGTTATCTCGATAAGGCAAAACGGTCATAATGGTTATCTCGTATACCATTATCCGTTTTATCTCATACTACAGAAGATGCTCCACTTTATGGAAGCAATTGGTATGGTTATTCTCGTGTTTTCCACAAGGAAACAACACAGAATCAACCATGCTCCACTCCACTACAGGAAATGTTCCATTATAGGGAAGCAATTGGTGTGGTTATTCTCGTGTTTTCCACAAGGAAACAACACAGAATCAACCATGCTCCACTCCACTGCAAGAAAAGTTCTATTCAAGGGAAGCAATTGTCATGGTTTTTCTCGTGTTTTCAAGAAGGAAACAACACAAAATCAACCATGCTCCACTCCACGGTAGGAAATGTTCTATTGGCATGTTTTTTTTGTGTGATTTTTATGTAATTTTATATGAACAAGTTTTAGAATGTAATCCCGTAATAATAGTTACTCGTGTTTACATGCAACTCCATGCAATTTCATGCAATCATATGATCCATGTAATAAGGGTAATAAAGTCCCTTCGAAACGCATTCAAATATTAGTCAAGACAGTCGAAGTTTTGGATATTTGTTTATCTCAACGGCCCTGTCTATTATTATTATTATTATTATTATTATTAGTAGTATTATGTTAATTAATAACTAATTACGGTGGAATTATTGTGGAATTATATTACGGTGGAATTATGTTAATCAACGGCCATCTCCATTATTATTATTATTATTATTATTATTATTATTATTATTATTATTATTATTATTATTATTATTACTATTATTATTATTATTATTATTATGTTAATTAATAACTAATTACGGTGTAAAGTCCCTTCGAAATTCAATCAAATATTAGTCGGGACAGTCGAAGATTATTCATTTTGGATATTGGTTTATCTCATTCTCAACGGCCCTCTCCATTATTATTATTATTATTATTATTATTATTATTATTATTATTATTATGTTAATTAATAACTAATTACGGTGTAAAGTCCCTTCGAAATGCATTCAAATATTAGTCGGGACAGTCAAAGGTTATTCATTTTGGATATTTGTTTATCTCAACGGCCCTCTCTATTATTATTATTATTATTATTATTATTATAAATTATTATTATTATTATTAATGACCGAAATTAAATCTCATTTAACTTCCTGAACTCTTAGAAATTAACGAGAGTAATAAAAGCTGATTTGACCGCTCCTTATCTACCCGAATTGAATGCAACCGCTCACACATATCTTCATCCATTTTAATTAATAACTAATTACGATGTAAAGTACCTTCGAAATGCATTCAAATATTAGTCGGGACTGTCGAAGATTATTCATTTTGGATATTTGTGTATCTCAACGGCCCTCTCTATTATTATTAATTAATTAATTATTATTATTATTATTAAAAATATTATTATATTTATTATTAGTATTATTATGATCATTAAGGTATTCTAATTAATGACCGAAATTAAAAACTCATTAAACTCCTAAACTCTTAGAAATCAACGAGAGTAATAAAAGCTGATTTGACCGCTTTAGCTACCCGAATTAAATTCAATTCAAAATGCATTCAAATATTAGTCGGGACAGTTGAAGTTTATTTCTTCTAGGAAATTTATTTATCTCAACGACCCGCTCTATTATTATTATAATTATTATTAATTATTAATTATTTTGTTTTTCCCAAGTACACTCAATCCTTCCTTCCAACATCCAATTCATTTTCTAAACCCCTCTCTAAATTCATATTCAATCACCCCTATAAGTACTCCACTTACCCTGTTTTCATTATCTACACACTTAGTATTCTTCATCAATGTATTCCATATCTTACAATCCTGTTTCTTTGCCCACATCAGAATTTCTTACCTTTGTTTCATTGATTGATAGAAATGGATATTTCAAGTACGTTGTTTTTCTCTAACTGTCGTAATGGTTTTTTCGATCAGATAATACGGTCGTAATGGTTTTTTCGATCAGATAACGCATCCCTCTACTGCAGCACATGATAACGAACTCTGCATGCGTGCTGCAGTAGAGGCATGGTGTTGTCTGATCGAACAAACGGACATTATAAATGCAAGCCAAACCCAATCTCCAGATCTAGGGGAATGCTAGCAGTTGTAGCAGCTTGTGTAGAGACCAAAATATTGAAGGGATCAAAAAGAAATTACTCAAAGATCGATCTGAGCTAATTTCATGGAATTATTGATTTTTATGTAATTTTATATGAACAAGTTTAGAATGTAATCCCGTAATATTAGTTACTCGTGTTTACATGCAACTCCATGCAATTCCATGTAATCATATGTATCCACCACATAATTAATAATACTGTTAATAATATATGTAATAATATATGCTATTCCATGAAATCATATGTATCCACCACAATTTTATTAATAATATATTTATCTACCACAGAATTTATTTGTTGTTTCTACAATGGTATTCCTTGCATATGTAGTAAGAAATTTCTAAACGCATGTTGGCCATCTTTTCTTTTGTCATCTTCTCTAAAGATTTAAAATCCTTATGTTGTGCTCCCAACTCTAACATTTTTACCGCGAAGATGCCGCAGTCAGAATTATTCTGTTGGGGTACTGGGCATAATTCGATATCCCAAGTGGCATATCTGTGCTTTCCAATTTCTTTAATTCCAGCCATGCCTGAAAACCCTTTAAGTTCATCTTTCAGCAAATGATGCATGTCCTCATTCGTAGATATCCCAGAAAGGGAGTCAAGCACGACGAGGCAGCACCTCTCAAAGTCAGCCTTGACACAGAACCAATGTGTACCCGTGGCTTTCAAATAATATACGTACTTAGTGTTCTTTTTCCAGGCTTTGGTTTTAAATGCTTCCTGCCCCTCGCTGTATGTACCATCCACAATCTTTTCAATGGGTCTCGACAAAACAGGCCATTGTGGGTCATGTGCAAAAGAGTTCATGTACGTTGTGAATTCAAAAGGCGCAATGACAGAGTCTCCATCGTCATTGCATAAACGTCTTCTCAGGACGTAAAGGTACTCACTCATATGCTAGTTAACAAACAATAGTATGTTATTAGAAAACGAAAGATATAAGCATTGTTTGTGTACGAAGAATGAAAGGTTAATGCAACTTACAGTATCCGCTACCCAAAGACCCGGAGTGATAAGGTCAGTCCACCAGGTTTTCACATATTCCTCATGCTCCTTGTGCTGCTCGAGGTAGCATTGTACAGGGCTGTCAGTTTTAATTGTTTCTGCGATGAAGCTCTTAAATTCCAAAAGATCTCCTTTAGTTGGCGGCTTAGATAAGAGTTCATTGGCTTTCTTTTTCTTCCTCTCGTCCGCTGTATATGGAGACTTCAAACTGGCCGACTTCTTTTTCAATCTCTAAAATAAAAAAATAAGTGAATTCGAATTATTTCGAAATCTTCGACTCCAATTCGAAAGCACATTGAAGTAAGATACCAAACCTTTCCATATACATGGGCATCAATAATTTCAGCCTCGTCTCCCAATTCTTTCTGGGGAGAAACAACCTACATTAAATAGAGTGCAAATAAACATGTTCTAAATACTTCGAAGATACTGACTGCATTTCGAATGCATGAAATTTAGAATTTATCTTGTCGTGCAGAGTTTTCATAGAAGCAGCGCCGTCTGTTTCCATGACCTCATGGCTAGGCTCAACCTACAGATAATTCAAATTATTTCGAAATCTTCGACTCAAATTCGAAAGCACTTGAAGTAAGATACCAAACCTTTCCATGCACATGGGCATCAATAATATCAGCCTCGTCTCCCAATTCCTTCTGGGGAGAAACAACATACATTAAATAGAGTGCAAATAAACATGTTCTAAACACTTCGAAGATATTGACTGCATTTCGAATGCATGAAATTTAGAATTTTACTTTGTCCTGCAGAGGTTTCATAGAAGCAGCAGCGTCTGTTTCCATTACCTCATGAGTAGACTCAGCCTACAGACAAGCACAAAAATATGAATCTATCCATCATATTATATCCTTTCATATTACAAAATTAATGAATGAAAATAAGAATGTTACTATTTTCTCCACAAGGAGTTCCAAAGGTTCAATTGAAGCAGCAGCATCTGTTATCATTGTGTCATGGGTAGACTCAAGCTACAGACAAGTACAAAAGGTGTGGAGTCCAAAAATATGTGGTTAGAACATTTTCAAAAGGACAATGCAGCTCTAAGTTAAGATTAGAACTTTACCATTCTATTCTCCAAACTTAGAACAGAATCAGAAAGAGTTGAAGGTGGATTCTCATGCTCTTGATTTATTTCCCCAAGAATTTGGAGAATACCGAGTCTTGGAAAAACCTATAGAGTATGAAGTATGAAAATGATGAGAATGAAGTATGAAATGATTTTATGATTTCATTTAACATATGCAAACAAAATGAAATGACTCCATTAAACCCTAAACCTTATCATCAGGTGAACGATTGCGTGCCTCACTCTCTTCACAATCATCCATGATTGTCGTCTCTGGCACCTGAACGTTAAAAGATCTTACAGATTTAAAACTGAACAAAACGTTTCGAATGTATTCGAGAAACTTCGAACATTTCGTATACATTTGATTGCTTCGTATATATTCGACAGTATTCGACTTACCTCCAGCGGAGTCTTTGTTGGTTCTTCTCCTGATTCAGTTACATTCACATTCATATTTTTACATAAGAATAGATCAGTTGTGATCAATTCAAATTATTGGATGACCTTTCAAAAGCCTCGACATACCTTATTCACAACCTTTTGATTTATTAAAGTTGACAAAGCATCAACTTTTTTTCCAGCACTTCAAACCTCTTTCGTTGTTCTTCTGCAATGTCATCAATTTTCTTTGACATTCGATCAAAGAGTTCTTGAAAGGAATTGGATGAAGGCTTGGTGGGGTGAGGGGTAGGAGACAATGGAGTTGGGATGTTGGAATGGGAGACTCTAGAAGGAGATTCCCTAAGACTCTGACTCCTCTGAGATGCTTGGGGAGAGGAGATGTGCTCATTACGCTCTACAGAATTATCTCTTGTTGGTGAAGGGACATTCCGGGCTTTTCTCTTCCTCTCCACCGGAATGTGGACTTCCCCTCTACCCTCTAATTTTGCCACAAATGCATCCAACTCAGGGTGTGCTGTGGTCTCTAGAGGATGGATGTTCAAATACCACTCTGCAGTAGCCTCAAACTTGTCGGGAACAAGAATGCTCTGTAGAGCCTGCAACCAAAACAATGACACTTTATTTTTGGAATTCCTTAAATTTTTAATCTTTATTGACCAATAATATGTATATACTTGTACGTCCCCAACGTAAGCATCCATTTCTGTGTGGGTGATTTTCTTTTTATTGGAATTTCACGTAAGCATCCATTTCTGTGTGGGCTTCTTGTTGTAATATTTGTTCCAGTCCCCAAGCAACTCTCCAGAAAAAGGATCTTTTCATATTGAAAGTTTCAATGAGATCACATTTCAATAAAAATTATAAGAAATATTATAATTAAAAAAATCCTTACCCCAATGGGAAGCAAGAAACTAGTATAGTACATGGTTGATGAGGCCCCTCTTCCAATTGTTTTGGCCTTAGCAGCTAGGTCTTTCCTCAGTGACCCCAAGGACTCCATAAATGCCGAGGTTCCCCATGGGAAATCTAGAACTGCTGTCCAATGTGCAATCATGCCCAGAATCCAATTTGGAATTGCAGACTTGTCGCAATCAGCAGGACCCAAGAGAACAACAACAACAAACAATAGTGTTGCCATTTTCACAGAGGTTAATTCCTTTGAACTTTCAAAGCCGGCGTTAAGGTGAGAGCAGTTGAGGCCGCTTATGAGTGAAAACTCCCTCAAGGAGTACTTGACAGGAACTCCTTTGACAACAAACCACATCTCTCCTTTCCTCTTTATTTTGGCTTCCCTCGCAATGAGTTGCCATAGGAACAGAGGAGGAGGAATACACTCAACATCCAAATCCAAAAATGAGAAAAAGGGGTGTTCTCCCTAAACAAAGCAAGGACTTCTGGATGATCTCCAAGTCCTTCGCTCATCAGATTCTGGAACTCCCCCAAAGAAGATTTCATGGTTAACTTCATTCCAGGTATTTTATCAATATCAATGGTGCAATCCAACGCTGGACCCTAGAATTAAAACCAAGAACTAATCAAAAAATAGATTCGACTACAATCAACTGTAACCAATTACTGTAACATTATATTGATTATTTCCATGGTCGAATAACTTGTTCTGTTTCCGAATGTTTCAAAAACAAACAAAATAAACTTTAAATGTTATATTTTAGTGTACATGCAATGCACCTCAATTTCCGAAGCATCCGGGAACGATTCACACTCCACAGATGGAGTTACCTTAGCAAAAATCTTACACCAATCCCAAATAGTTCAAAATAAAACCAAATTTAGTTAATTTTAAGTGAGGATTATTTGAAAATACCTGGTTTTCATTCTCCATCTCCTCCCTTTGTGTTTGGGTGAGAGTTCTTCTCTTGTACTGGAACCCGCAACTTGCTCCGGTGTTCTCCATGGCAAACAGATGTGTGGTAGTTCTTGAAGATATCCGATGACGATATGCAATGGAGAACGAAGAGCAGAAGAGTTTCGATTGATGAAGGCGTATCGTTTCCGAAGACTGGGCAAGGGATTAAGGAGGGGTTGGTGTTTCAAACAACGCCGTTTGGCCTTTCTGAAAATCATCGTGACGCTTCGAAGGCAACCTAACGGCTGGTCGTTAATTTTAATATTTCCGTTTAATTTTTGAAGTAACGGTCATAAACAGTGACGTTTTGTTTCTTGGTTGGAAGGGCCTTTCTGTCATTTCCCCTCATTTCACGCAAGTAGAGCGGATGCGCTTCACGCGAATCTGTGTTAGATCTAGGAGGGAATTCTCATAAATACCAAACTTTTTCTACCCTTATCCATAAATTCTTCCATTCTTCATTCATATGCACGATCGAAAGATCCAATCTGGGTTGCTTCGTCTCTGATCATCATTGGGAAGCTCTAATAATGTAAAAAAATGTGATGTAGAACAGGAATCACTGATGGATTCGAGTATCTATAGCCACAGAACTAGGAGCTAAATGAGAGAAGAAGCTCAAATTATTCTGTGCTATCATCTGAGATTAACAGATAGAGAGAAAGAGGAAGAAGATGAAGATGAAGTTGAGAATGAATTGTATCTTTCTTATTCCATTTACAGGCGTACAAGATGTATTTATAAACGAAGAATATAACCAAATAAGTTAGAATCATAACTAACTCACAATAGCTCCCTAACAACCCAACTAACTTGTTAAGCCGGTACCACAACCCCCCCCTTTAAAAGCTATGTAAAATCTTGATAGAACATCCAAGTGGCATCTTCATCTGGTAATCCAAGCAATTTTACCCGCACTTTGGTAGGAGCTACACGGCCTCGCTTCACCATTTGCGTATCAAGTATAGCTTGGGGCACCCTGGGAAGGGCTGAATCATGGAATAGAGCAGGTAATGCTTGATCCGTCTTGGAAGGGTCCCAACAATATTTCAACTGAGAAACATGGAATACTGGATGGATTTGGGAGGATGGAGGCAAATGCAGTTTATAAGCAACTTTTCCCATTTTATCTATGATCTGAAATGGACCATAATATCCCTGAGTCGGTTTATCATTTTCCCTTTGCTGGACTGAAGTTTGCTTGTAGCTTTGTGGTTTGAGATATGCCCACTGGCCCACTGTGAACTCCCTTTCGGATCTATTGTTGCCAGCATACTGCTTCATCCTATGTTGTGCTTTGTGTAATTGAAACTGGAGCATTTTAATAATGTTCTCCCGCTGTTGCAAGCTTCTATCCACTGTTTGATTAGGTGAGAAACTAGGCAGATAAGGTATATGCATAGGAGGTTGCTGCCCATAGAGAATTTTATAGGGAGTTGTGTTTAGGGAAGTACGATAAGAACTGATGTACCACCATTCAGCTAATGGTAACCATTTACTCCAAGTGTGAGGGTGTTCATGGGAGATATGATGTGGATTTGAGCAAGTCTACGCCCTGGATTCTGAATAGCTCAGTCCAAAAATTGTTGAGGAAGACATTGCCTCTGTCAGAAACAATGGAGTCAGGTAAGCCATGCAATTTGAAGACATTGTCCATATATGCTTGAGAAACTTGAAGTGCTGTGAAGGGATGAGCTAAGGCTATGAAATGAGCAGTTTTGCCTAACCTATCCACCACCACCAAAATTACCTCTTTGTTATTTGAAAGAGGTAAGCAATAAAGTCCATTAAAATGTGTGACCATACCACATCAGGAATTGGTAAAGGTTGCAACAAACCCAGATATTTTGAGTGGTCATATTTTCATTTTTGACAGTTGTCATAGCATCTAATGTGCTCTTGCACATCTTTCTTCATCCCTTTCCAATAAAACAAGCTTTGTATTCGATGTATAGTGGTATCTCTACCTGAGTGACCCCCAATAGGAGAATTGTGAAACCATGTGAGTAGTTCATGTTTCAATTCTTCCGAAGAGCCTATAACTAATTTCCCCTTCCTCCTTAACTGACCATTAAACCAAGAAAACTGCTTGTGGGAATATGGATCGACCTCCAACTCCTTAATTATCTTTTGGAGAATAGGACCAGATTGCCAAGCAGCTGAGATTTTCTTGTAAAGGTCAGTATATTCAGCATTAAGGGCCATCAACAACAAAGGAGTTAGTAATCTCGACAAAGCATCAGCAACTTTGTTATCTTGTCCCTTCTTATAATATATCTCAAAATTGTATCCCATCAGTTTGGCCATCAAAGCTTGTTGACAAGGAGTACAGATCTTCTGCTCAAGTAAGTACTTAAGGCTCTTCTGGTCAGTCTTGATGATGAAAGGTTTATTGAGTAGGTAAGGGCTCCACTTTTGGATGGCAAATACTATTGCAATTACTTCCCTCTCATAGGCTGATTTAGCTTGATTTTGTGGACTTAAAGCCTTGCTTATGTAGGCTAAAGGATGATCCTCTTGCCTCAGCACAGCTCTTATTCCATGACCAGAAGGATCTGTCTCTATAATAAAAGGTTTCTGAAAATCAGGTAAAGCAAGGATGGATGCTTCACACAACAACTTTTTTATAGTCATAAAAGCTGTTTGTGTTTCTGAAGTCCAAGAAGACTTGTCTTTCTTTAAGAGATCAGTTAGTGGTTTGGTGATTTGAACCCTCTGATAAACCTTCTATAGTAGCTAGAGAGACCCAAAAAAAACCCCTTAGTTGCTTTAGCGTGGTAGGTACTATCCAACTTTTTACTGCACCAACCTTGTCTAGGTCAGTAGTATTAAGGATAATCCATAAATATTATTATATATGGATTATCCTTGATAACTAGCAACACCCTCTGCTGATATAAAATGTCCCATGTATTCTACTTTGGTCACAGACTCACAGCAAAAACACATTTACTTTTCTTTAGATACAACTGATGGAGTTGGAGTTTCTCAAATACTGTATGGACATGGCGACATGCTGAATGTGGTCTTTGATATTCTTGCTGTAAACAAGAATATCATCAAAAAAGACCAAAACAAATTGTCCGAGGAATGGTTTGAGAATGTGGTTCATCAAACTTTGGAATTAGGTTGGGGCATTAATTAACCCAAAGGGCATAACCACAAATTCATAGTGACGACCCTCATGAGTTTTAAAAGCTGTTTTGTACACATCATCCTTGTAAAACCTCGGTGATATCCAGATCTCAAGTCCAGCTTGGTAAAAACAGAGCATCCCCCCAGTTCATCAAGTAGATCCTCTAGTAAAGGGATGGGGAACTTATCTTTGATGGTTTGGCTGTTGAGGTCTCTATAATCCACACAGAACCTCCATGAACCATCTTTTTTCCCAACCAAAATCATAGGAGAAGCATATGGACTGCTGCTGACCTGAATGGTACCTTTATCCGGCATTTCAGTCACGATCTTTGCAATTATATTTTTCTGGACAGCAGGATACCTATAAGGTCTGTTGTTAACAGGTTAAGCCCCTACCTTGATAGGGATCCTGTGGTCAAATTATTCATGGATTTGTGGAAGAACATTTGGTTCCTCAAAAAGATCAGCATACTGGTCTATCAAAGATTCCATGTCCTTCGTGTGGGACTGTGCCATTGTGGCAAACAGCATTGAACAATGGGCTTCAGCTACTAGGCATTCTGAAGGACAGAGAGCTAATTACAAAAGTGCAAATTGACCTTCCTTTTCCAACATTTTATTCAGATGTCTAGCATCCATTATTTTGAAAGCTTTGTCTGTCATACCTCTTAGTAGATGGTTTTTCCCAGCTATATGAAACTCCATTGTCATTGTTTGAAAATCCCATATTATGGGACCCAGTGTGGATAACCATTGAACTCCCAACACCATATCACAAGAACCTAATGGTAAAATCATTAAATCCGTAGTGAATCTAGTGTTCTGTAATTGCCATAACAGTCCTCTACACATTTTAGCGACCTAGAGTTTATTTCCATCAGCAACCTGTACAGTCATAGGTTTGATGTCTTCCCTGGGATACTCAAACGTCTTTGTTGTATCTTCATCCACAAAGTTGTGTGTACTTCCACTGTCAATTAAGATCTGCAAGGGCTTTTTATCACATAACCCAGTCACTCTCATAGTTTGAAAAGCAGAAGAGCCAGTCATGGCATTCACTGGTATGCAAGCCATGGTGAGTGCTTGCTCTTTTTCAAAATCTTCACCTTGCACTGAATGTTCTTCAACCTCTTCATCAATTTCAATCAAAAATAGGGTAGGCCTTTTATGAGTCAAGTGGTGGCCAGGGGTATAAGGATCCCCACATTATATGCACAACCACTTTGCCTTTCTCTCATCCGATCTTTCCTTGTGGGCATTTTCAAGGGTTTTTCGGTAGTTGAGGCAGTGCTACAGGTGCTACTACTGTTGGATGGAGTATTTTTGTGAGGAGTCACATATGAGTTCTTTGAGTAAGATGTTGGAGTAGGTAAAATTGGAGTTTGCTTGGTAATTTGAGAAGTCTGCCTTGAATTAGAGCTAAACTTAGGAAAATTCTGAGAGAGTGACAGGTTCTCTTCTTGCAACCTAGCTAGTTCAATAGCTTTAGCAATCGTTTTAGGTTAAAATGCCTTCACAAATGGTCTGAGTTCAGGCTTCAAACCACCAACAAAACTTTCTACAAAATACTCCATATCTAGATACTTGTTCTTCTGTAACATCAAGGCTTTTATGCTCTCAAATTCATCAATATACTCTTTAAGAGAATCAGTTTGTTCAAGCCTCTTAAAAATTTCTACTATATTGTTACCCTTCTCATCAGGAAATCTAGCATATAGATTAGAGACAAATTCCTCACACTCCACATGCCTCGAAGAAAACATATAACCATTCAACCATACCTCAGCTTTATCAATCATGTGTAAAGACATTAAATCTACTCTTTGATCCTTAGGAATTTTACAAAGATCAAAATACTTCTTGCACTTCTTAATCCATGAACGTGCATTATCACCGTTAAAGTTGGAAATTGGAGTTTAAGAGTGTACCCCAAATGATGCTTATTGTTATCCATGGCCGTCGAATGCACTGAGTATGGCGGTTCGAGAGACAATTCATGAGACTTCTTCGCGCTCCTTAGCGTTTCGTTGAGTGAGTTGAGTCATCATTTGCATCATCTCCTGTCTCAATTCCATCATTTGTCGTTGATAGGAATCATTTTGCAACTGGAATTGCGTCTGAATTGTTTCTTGTAAGCTTTTGATTTGCTCGTCCATGGTGGTTGCTTGATCTTTTCTCGCTGGCGCCATTGTCGATCCACAGATCACAAGAACATGGAGCTCTGATACCAATGATGTAGAACAGGAATCACTGATGGATTCGAGTATCTACAGCCACAGAACTAGGAGCCAAATGAGAGAAGAAGCTAGAATTATTATGTGCTATCATTTGAGATTAACAGAGAGAGAGAAGATGAAGTTGAGAATGAATTGTCTTAGGGGTGGACACTGTACTGTTACTGGCCGGTTCTGGTTCCGGAACGGCCGGTTCCGGTACCGGACCGGCCGGTTTCGGCCACCCCAATTATTATTTTTTTGCTTATTTTTAGAATTTTTAAAGTGTAAAATTGTAAATTTGCAATTGTTAAAGGAAAGATTGAAATAAAAAATCTAAAAATGTAGTTGTTATTTAAATATTGTAAAATGAGTAATACACGAACTGAAGAACAACTACATTTAATATCCTGAGGGTTCAAAAAAAGCGACGAGGTAAAGAACCGTAAAGAAACCCTCGAAGGAGCTTATATACCGCTCACCTAAAAAACTAATTACATATTTAAATTAACATAAAAAAAAGTTTATAACTTATTCCTCAGAACTCGGACTTCCATCTGTGGTTGCATTCATGTAATGCTCCGAATTGAATTCGTACCCTAACTCTTGAGCTCGACGTCTTGCCAAGAGCCAATCTTGGTTGCTAACAAGTGTTTCAAGAGATTCAGCGTTAAGACAACTTCGAAAGTCAGTTAGAATGTTGCCGCCAGCACTGAATTCTCGTTCCACAGCTACGGTTGATACCGGGACGGACAACACTTGTCTTGCTAGCTTTCCAAGACATGGGAACATGTGTTCGTTCCGCTTCCACCATCCAAGGACGTCAAACTCCACGTTGTCCTCGTCGTAATCGCATGGCACCCCTTAGTACATAGCAAGTTCATTGTGTGAGCTTACTGTTGTACCACTTGAACTCGTCGAAGGAGGTGTTGTTTTTTTGGGGGGCGGAGGAGGTGTTGTTTTTTCTGGTACAGTACCGTATAACCCTTGATATTCCTTAAACAAATCCTCAAAAAGAGTTATAGCATTATCTTTTTCATTTTTCCATTTTATTAAATGGCTGTAGTAATAACTATTTTCATCTAAAAAACAAGTGTAGTAATAGTTAATTAGAATTTTCAATCTTAAAGCGTGGATCACAAATAATACTTATTTTATAAATATCGGAAATGTACAAATAATAAGCACACCATTTATCTCTCATAGGAGAGACATAAGGGTACAAATCTGGATCAGGCAAACTCTCACGAAAATATGTTGCGATTGTAACGCACTCTTTAAAAAATGTATTTGTAGTTTGTTGGTAAACATGCGAAAAAGTAAGAGTTGCGTTATTAAAAATTTCTAATACGGCATTCAATTTTTCAACAATAACAAATTCAATAGGTGAAATGATTATACGAAGTTCATCACTAAAAAATTCAGCAAGTTCCTCTTTATAGCTCAGAATCTGTGCTATCAATTTGTAAGTACTATTCCATCTAATGTGGATATCTTTGGCAAATGTTATTTCTCTTCTACCCTTAGACTTACAAAATATCTTCCAAGACCTCGAAATAAGACGAGCCCCCCAAATTTTTCTAATTCCTTCTTTAATATTCGTCAACCCCCCCCCCCCCCCCATAGCTTCGAGTCCCTGTTGAACACATAAATTTAAAACATGACAGGCACACCGTTGATGCAAAAATATACCTATAGTCGTAGTAGGGGGCAAATTTCTTCAAGTCTAGGAATAGCAGCAGTATTATTAGTAGCATTATCAAAACCAAATGCAAAAACTTTATCAGCTAAGTTGTATTCCCGCAGAATACTCTGAAGCAATAGAAAAATATTTTCAGCAGTATGAGAATCATTGAAATCACGAAATGCAAGAACACGTTTATGCATAATCCAATCACTATCTATCCAATGACAAGTAACACCCATATAGGACAAATTATGATAAGTTTCACTCCAAATATCAGAACAAATAGCAACACGAGAATTAAAATTGAGAAAAAAATTTGCCAAATTTATTTTTTCAGTTTTATACTGGCGAATAATTTCTCGCTTATTTTTTTTCTTGAAAAACCTCGTGCTTGAGGGTTTAATACCTGTTGACAATAATCAATAAATCCAAGTTTTTCAGAAAACATGTATGGAAAATTTTCTTCACAAATCATTTCGGCCATTTTTTGCTTATTTTGCTCGTCGCTATAAGCAAAAAGGTCGCCTTTACCTCTGTTAGCAAACCGAGAAATTTGGGTTTGCACTTCTTGCCGTCCCTTCTTTTTCGCCGCATATTTGGCGTACTCTACGGGATGCCTCGATCTTAGGTGTTTTTCCGGACCGCCATAACCGCCGGAAACTCCCATTTTAATGACGGTCCTACAATGTTTACAAGTTCCATAACCTATGCCATCTTTTGTTTCTTTTTCAAAATGATAAACAAATAAATCTGATTTTAATTTTTTTTACCTTTGTCCGGACCTCGAGAGGTCTCGGGCTCACCTGCCTCCACGTCGACGTCGTTGCTGTGCGGTGTAGGCTCCTTGTCCCCGTCCAGATTATCCAGTCCTGCTTCATCAACATCTTCGAATAGACTATCAAGAGTGGGGAGATTCGCGTCCCCTCTACCAGAAGAAATCTGGTCGAATTCTTCATCCGTAATACCGTCCCCGATGAATTGATCGGGGATAGTAGGAAAGGAAGAGACGGAGTGTCTTCCTCGAGAACCGTGTGAGGTCGAACCGTCGGAGGAGGCTTTAGCTTTTCCTTTCCTCAAACTTCGGTTCACGGCGCCCATATCCACGGACCTTCTACCGGACTCTCTCGACATTTTAATATATATTTTTTTGATATTAAAAAAAATAAAATATTAAATTTGGAAAATTTAAAAAAAATTCGAAATTTTATATATTAAAATTTCAAAAATTTCAAAAAGTAAAGAATATATTTAAAATATAAATTATATATTTTTTGATATTAAAGAAAATAAATCATTAAATTTTGAAAATTTAAATTAATTTCGAAATTTTATACATTAAAATATAATATATTTAAAAAAGAATATATAAAAGAGATAATAAGATTGAGAGATTGAGATTTGAGAGATTGATAGATTGAGAGATGGATTGAGTGATTTTTTTTAAAAAAATGGAGGTATTTATAGAATGGTTCATCCCCTCCCCTCCCCCCTCCCTTCGGCCC